TTACCTCTCTCGACGTTTCGACTAGGTTGCACTAGCCGTGGTCACGAGCTGACTGGAGCAACAGCGATGTCAATGTAGATAGGTGACAGCAGTTTTTTCATCGAACCCGCGACCATCGGACGTAAAGCGGTGTGCTAGACCGCTAGACCACCGAGGCCGTCAATAACAATAAAATAAAATAACCGTCTTTTACTACATACATATGAATATAAATACAGTACATACACCAAAATTACATTTTTTACAATTTTTGTCTGTCTGTCTATCGGTCTGTTTGTTCCGGCTTCTTTGATGAATCTTTGAAATGGCTGGACCGTTTTCGACGGGACTTTTTTTTGGTAGGTAGCTAATGTAATAAGGCGTAACTTAGGCTACTTTTATTTTAGAAAAATAAAGTTAAATTCCACGCGGACGAAGTCTCGGGAACAGCTAGTTGACAATAATAATAACAATTTTTATTTTGCATCCAATATTTGCAATTTGTTCCCTAAACTAAGTAGTAATCTGCATTAGATTCTTAACTCTACGCTACAATGTCTTAAGGGCATTCAGACAAATCGCTGGCTATCGCTCAAGTCCAGATAAGCGTCGTTACACGCAGCTGTCGCCGTGAACTCACTATCCCGGGATTAGCCCGGGATTTCTGCAGGTGGACGGTGTGTAATGTTGTTAATTCTATGGATTTATGTCACGTACACTAGTCGTACGTTCGTGGTAGTTGTTCAGTTTTGGATTTATTTTGTACTTAGCCCCTAGACTATAATTTTGACTCATAACCACAACGGAACTGGGTTCAAATGGTTTTTATTTTTTATTTTGGACAATTAACACAGCTTCGTATAGACCCAAGTTAAGCTAGGTAAAGCTTGTGTTATGGGTATTAGATAACTGATACAAATACATAGATATATTTAATTTTGTAAATATATACATATTATACATAGAAAACACCCAGAGCGATACAAACAATCATAATCATGAATGTTTGTACCCTGCGAGGAATCGATCCCGCGACCATCGTAAGAAAGGCGGTGTGCAAAATTGCTAGACCACCGAGGCCGTCTTTGAAGATTATTAAAAAAAAGTGTAGCTTTTGGATAAACTCATTTCAGTTACTTCTATTGCCAAAAATTTGCTTCACAATCAAATATATATAAAAAAGTCCCATCAAAATCGGTACAGCGATTTCAGAGATTAGCCGGAACAAACAGACCGACAGACAGACAGACAAAAATTGCAAAAAAAAATATTTAGGTATACCTATGTACCGTATATATATTCATATGCATGTAGTAAAAAACGATTATTTCAATATTACAAACAGACACTCCAATTTTATTTATATGTATAGATGAATAATATATAACAATATGATTTTCATTTGAGGGGCTAGATATTGTGCTACAAAATACGTACCGAAAATCAATTGCAGTCTTTTACAGCATTCTAAATGATGTATTCAGTTCTTACCTGAAAACAAAAGAAAACATATAAAAAAAATATATTTTTGCTATGTTTTTTTAACAAAGCATGGGGTTTTTCAAGAATTAGGTATATTAAGGTTTCTTAAGGGTCGGCAACGCGCACGTGATACCCCTGGTGTTTCAGGCGTCCATAGGCTATGGTAACCGTTTACCATCAGATGGGCCGTATGCTTGATTGCCACCATCATAGTATAAAAAAAAACAAAAAAAAAACATAAATACTACGTAGTATAATTTTCATGTCAAACTCTGTATTCAAGAACAGAACAGAATAGAATAGAACTTAAGCACTTTTGCATCATCAGCTCAGCCCGGAAGACGTCCACTGCTGAACAAAGGCCTCCGTAAAAGATCTCTTTGACTTTAGAATACTATCTACCGCTCATTCGGAAAGCTGTCTCATCACAAAAAGAACGAGCAAGAAACTTGCCCCCCTCCGATCGATCCCCCGTCCAATTCAAACGGGGATCGAAATTACGACGGCCTGAGCCGAGGTTCGAACCCTTAGTGGTGCCCTCAGACTAAAGTCGTATCCGTCAGGCAGGAGTTGGCCTTCAGCCGCTCCATAAGTCCTTCCGCGGGTTTGGAGTGCCATCTGCACTCGCCCCCTATCGTCCGGTGAAGCTGTAAAGGCCAGCTACGACCAACAGCATTAGCGTAGTCCGAAAAAAAAAAACGAAACTTGCGTGTTGCTTCCCAAGTATTTTTTATGTGTGTTAAAAGAATGGTGCACCCGCCTGTGCTAACGGTTTACGTTGGCGGGGCACCAGTGGAGGATGATAAAATGAGGGGTCAGGTCAGTGAGTCCATTGTGATTAATTCACTAGGTATGTAATACGATGGGTTTCAGAGGTAACCGCGTAGAGGTCAACTTGACATGGTACATTGCTAGTAATGAGGTTGTTAGTCCACAACAAACAGAGTCTATCCTTAATTTGCCAGAAAATATATACAAATGTCAAAACATTTCCTTTGTAAAAAATCTAAATATATATAACTCAAAGGTGACTGACATAGTGATCTATCAACGCACAGCCCAAACCTCTGGACGGATCGGGCTGAAATTTGGCATGCAGGTAGATGTTATGACGTAGGCATCCGCTAAGAAAGGATTTTGATTAATTCTACCCCCAAGAGGATAAAATAGGGGATGAAAGTTTGTATGAAACTGTCAATTTTAAACCGATCGGGCTGAGACTTTGCATTCATAAAGTTACTATAACGTAGGCATCCGATTTCCGATCCGAAGAAAGGATTTTTATAAATTCCACCCTTAATGTAAATGTATTAGTTTGAACCTATCAGTACCTAATGGAACGAGTAAATTAAGAAAAATAAAGTTAAATTCCACGTGGACGAATTATAAAATTGAAGAATTTATAAATGATAATAATGATTTTGCTGAAAATCTATCTTAAAATACATAGCGCTGACAATGTTATCTGATTGAACAATTATTGAGTGCGTAGCTGTTTCTATGTTGATTATCGCATGCCTCTTATTTGTTATTATAAATAATTAATTTATATAGAAAAATATATATTCAAAAGAGTAATACACAAGTTTCTTGCTCATTCTTCTTGTGATGAATCTGCGTTCCAAATGAGTGGTAGAATCAAAATATGACTATTCAAAAGTGCTTGTATTGAGTTTATTTGAATAAAGACTATTTCTATTTCTATAATACTTGAATACCCCTCGTAAAGGGGATTGTTTGTAATATGGACTAAGTCTGATTGCACTCATTCTTAGTGCAATCAGATAACATTGTCAGCGTTATAAATTTCAAGTTTTTCTACAAAAACATATAATATTTTAAATAGTGCCCTCTATCTCCCCCCCTTTTATATATATATTTTTGGTGCCACTGAAAACCAGCTGTATGTTCACCTAGGACATACATTAAAGCTGAGTGGAGCCATTTCGGTGCATTATTGGATGTAAAAAATGTTTATTTTATGTTTATTTTTTAATTATGGTAAATTAAGTTTAATTATATGTACATTTAATTTGCTCTTTTTTTTCCGTTTGTTGTTTATATTGTATTTTTTACATTGCACTGAATAAAATATTTTTCTTTCTTTTCTTTCTATTTTTGCCGTTATCGTTAACGAACTCTTCAATTTTATAACACGCCTTTACAAAGGATGTGTTTTGTACGACATCTAAATCTTATAATGCAAAACGAGCCTTATAACAAAGACAAATGCATTAGATGGAGTGGGAGCACGGTGCGGGTACGCGGGCGTGGCCTATATAATGAAGAGTAATTCGTGTCGTGATGCCAGATTAGCGTACACAGAGTTATATGCTAATGTGACACTGTTCGCATTGTCTCACGGTAACACGGCAAAATGCAAATGGATCGATTTACTCTGAAGGCGAAATTAAAGCCATTGAATTTGAATTTGGAATGTGTAACTTTTCGTAATCAAAATCGAAGTATCTTTGTTCGTTACTAGCTACTTGCCCCGGCTTAGCGCGGGTGTACATGAATTATGCATATAAACCTTCCTCTTGAATCACTCTATCTTCCTTATTATTGATTAATTATACAATCCTTCCTTATATTTCGTATATGAAAACTAGCCAAGTTAGACCTTAGGCTACAGTATATTATCCTAAGTTATAAGAAGAAATGATATTTTATATTGTTATAAATACATTTCAGGACAGACCATTGAACTTGGCACCCATTTAGATCTCACCTCTTTTGTCGTAGAAGTTAACAATCAAGGCATATACCATAATATTAAACTCTGCTATCATTTCACATTTATGTTTTTGATGGGATATTATATGTACATATAAAACTTCATCTGTATAATTAGGAAAAATCATTGAATCTAAGTTTTTCTATTGATTTCCAGATATATCAGCAGTGTTTCAACTGCCACGATCCCATATTTTTTTCTAATTGTACTAATTGTACGAATATTATAAACCTTCCTCTTGAATCACTCTATCTATTAAAAAAACCGCTTCAGCTTAGCCCTTTGTTTTATACTAAGTAATGATTACAAAATTAGTTTAAAAATTATTTTTGTACATGTATTTTTTATACATATAAACCTTCCTCTTGAATCACTCTATCTATTAAATAATCAACTGTGTTTCAACTGCTGTTTTTTTCTAAAATCCGTTGCGTAGTTTTAAAGACTTAAGCATATATAGGGACGGACAGACAGCGACGGCGATTTTTTTTTATACTATGTAATGATAACAAAAATAGTTTAAAAATAATTTTTGTTATTCTTATGTGTGCCGACTAAACTTATTTTCTTTCTTACTTTCAAATTATGACCGCGCAAATTTAAACAATATATTCATTTTTAATTGTATCAATAATCAATACTGAAACGAAGCATTATCAAAATTTTGACGTTAAGCGTCAAGCGCTTAAAAAGCTTACTATAAAATTGAAGAATTCGTTAACGATAATAACACTTTTATAGATAAATTTAAAACATAGCACTGACAATATTATCTGATTACATTAATAATGAGTGCGTAGCGATTTCTATGTTGATTATCGTATGCCTCTTACTAGTTATACTGTAGTTATTTATATAAAAAAAATCTATTCAAAAGAGCAACACACAAGTTTCTTACTCATTCTTCTTGTGATGAATCTGCGTTCCGAATGAGTTGTAGAATCAAAATATGGCTATTCAAAAGTGCTTGTAATGAGTTTATTTGAATATAGAATATTTCTATTTCTATAATCAACATTAAAACAAAGATATATGAAAATGTTGACGTACTACGTCTGTCAATGGACACGTGCAAACCTCGCCGAGTTAAAATAAAGCCATTTCAGCTAATGCCACACTAAACGCATGCCCGTGTTTCTTCGCTGTACTTTATTACGTGCATAATTGTTTCATATATTATTTATCGCAAATCCCTAGGATTAATACTGATTTGCAGTGGATACGAAGTACCATTTGTAGCGAAATGGGGTTGAAAAGCCGTATCTTTGTAGCTCATTTATATGTGTTAGAGTTCACATCAATATTGTAGAAAAAATCCGATATTTTAAAAATATATTAAAAGAAGGTAGTTTGTGTTTAGGGCTAATGAAGTACCCAATGTAAAGATTATTACAAATATTATTGATTTTTTTTTGTCGTAAGTACATATTATACATAGAAAACACCCAGATTTATACAAACAGTCAAACTCATGAATACAAATGTCTGTGCCGTGCGAGGAGTCGAACCCGCAACCATCGGATGTAAAGCGGTGTGCTAAACCACTAGACCATCGAAGTCGTCAACATGATGAATATGAGCACTATATTTATATTCATTCTCATAAACATGGGAATAACCAGGTCGTACTCCTCGCGCCAGAAATTTTGTATTTCTTGCATTATGTTGTCTTCCACATTCAGTTGAAGGCAATGCAAAACTTTGTACACCCTGTATATTTATAAAGGGTGTACAAAGTTTTGATTCACGTATTAACAAATATAAATATGAGGATAAAAAATAATTTAAGACAATTTAAGACTGTAAAACAGCGAGCGAAACGTCTCTATTCAGTTTATTTTATTGTAGTTTCTATAGAAATCCAGTAAAATAGAATTTTGTTTTTTTTTCTAATGCTGTTGGCCGCAGCTGACCTTTAGCTTCATCAAACGATAGGGGGTGTGTGCAGATGGCACTCCAAACCCGCGGGAGGACTTATAGAGCGGTTGAAGGCCAGCTCCCGTCTGACTGATATGACTTTAGTCTGAAGGCACTGTTAGGGGTACAAACCTCTCAGATCGTCGTTTTTTTTTAGGCCTACGGAGAAGGGAAACAATCATGGAGCGGCTGAAGGTAAACGGTTACCGCCCTGACGCCTGAAACACAAGTTTGAAGGCGCGTTGCCTCCAAACCTTCATCATCATCATCATCATCGCAGCAGACGTCCACTGCTGGACATAGGAAGGACTCCACGACGATCGGTCCATCGCTGATGGTCCAAACGGTTCCAGCGATCTTGACCAGATCGTCGACGCCTGAAGACGCAGCAGGGAGCTTCACATGCGTCTTCCTCCGTGCCTTAAACCTTTATATACCCTTCTTGAAAACCCCATGCTGTAGTCTCTCGAGAATCTGAAATGTATTAGAAATGGGTTTATCCTGGTCTTAGTTGGGCCTGGGGGGAAGCTGCAAGTAGTGAAGGTGAGTGTTAATGCATTCTAAAATCCTTTTAAACCTACACCCGTGTCACAAGTCGCTACTTGGGGTTTCCCTTGAGGTAGCCGGCTTCAAAGTCTAATTTGTTTTTTAATTAGTGCTTCTTACATATGTATAGCAAGTGTAATTGCGCATAATATGTGTATTCGTCATATGCGCGTTGCCGCCCCTTAAGAAACCTTAATGTACCCTTCTTGCAGTATGTGTGTCTCTGGAGAAAATCTTTCTTTGGCAGGTAGTTCATTCAACAATCTAAGTGTACGCGGGAGGAAGCTTTGATCGGAAGGACAGACTTTGATACGTTTTAATGAACGTATGTCTCTAGCAAAGTGTTAAGAGCAAGATTATTGGTTACAAACATATTATTATGTCATGTCTGCATTGTTTAGCGTGTCCGGAACATGAAGCGACCAATAACTCTGCAGTATCACACTATTATTACAGCTTCATTCATAAATATATGTAACTCAAAGGTAACTGACTAATATAGTGATCTATCAACGCACAGCCCAAACCACTGGACGGATCGGGATGAAATTTGGCATGCAAGTAGTTGTTATGACGTAGGCAATCGCTAAGAAAGGATTTTGATTAATTATACCCCCAAGGGGATAAAATAGGGGATGAAACATTGTCAATTTTATACCAATCGGGCTGAGACTTTGCATGCATAAAGGTAATATGACGTAGGCATCCCCTAAGAAAGGATTTTGATAAATTCCACCCCTAAGGGGATAAAAGGTTGTATAAATCTTCTTAGATTTTCGACTGATTGAACTGAAATTAAAGATTGGAGCTACTATGAAGACTTTCGCTTAAATAGAATTTTGATAAATTCAACCCCCATGGGGTAAAATAAGGGATGATACAGGATGTAAATGTATTAGTTTGAACCTATCAGTACCTAATGGAACGAATAAATTCAGACGAACAAAATAATGTTTAGTTCTTTAGGCTACTTTTATTTTAGAAAAATAAAGTTACAATCCACGCGGACGAGGTCGCGGAATCAGCTAGTCATTCATAAAACTAATTAATGAAAAAGTTGGTTTAAACATTCAATTACAACATCCGATTATGAATTACAACGTACAATTAAAACAACCTACCATTTCGATAATTACTACCAAAGTTACCATAAAAAGTGGTAGAATCGTAGTTTGGTAGTTACACAAAATGGCGACGTGCGACAAATTGGATGGGATAGTTAGAATTGTTTTTTATTTAATGTGCTTATTATTTATCGTGCGTAAGGTGAATTCATCAGCTGAGGTGATGAAGAAATTGAGCATTACCTTCGCTAAAGAAGTGGATGTATGTCAGAAAGAGGTAAGATCTTTTTCATGATCATGATTCTTTAATTGAATTAGTGCTAATAATAATAATAATAATCTCAGGACAATTCACACAGCGCCATCTAGACCCAAGTTAAGCTAGCTAAAGCTTGTGTTATGGGTCCTAGACAACTGATACAAATACATAGATAATTGTTTTTTTTCCCTAAATACATACATATTATACATAGAAAATACCCAGACCGATACAAACAATCATACTCATGAATACAAATGTTTGTGCCGTGCGAGGAATAGGTAGTTTGTATTCACACACTTAAACTTAAATTGTAAAGTAAGAATAAAATTATTTAAAAGAGCAACACGCAAGTCTCTTGCTCGTTCTTCTTGTGATGAGACAGCTTTCCGAATGAGCGGTAGATTAAAAAAAATGTGATGACTATTCAAAAGTGCTTCAATGTAAGTTTAATTGAATAAATGATTTTCTATTCTATTCATCTGTTTCCATGAAATAAGAATTGAAAATAGTATTAATAGTTACATAGTATAAAACAAAGTCGCTGTCGCTGTCTGTCCGTCAATATGTATGCTTAAATCTTTAAAACTACGCAACGGATTTTGAAGCGGTTTTTTTAACAGATAGAGTGATTCAAGAGGAAGGTTTATATGTATAATACATATATAATACAAAGTGTGATATAAGTGTGCGAAATTTCATACTCAACCGTCTGCGCAACTTTCTTAAAAAGGTACTAAGTATTTGTTTTTGGTATTGATATAATGTTGTAGTAATAAGAAAACAGACTAGGTCGACGAAGAAAATATATTAGTATAGACATATTAGAATAGAATGAAGAAATTGAAGTATCAAAAACAAGAATGTAATATAAAAAGAACTATAAATTCAAATACAAATTTAGAATATAAAACATTTCTTCATTAACCAGTTACAACATATAGTAATAAAAAAAAATCCTTCAGCTGAACGTGGGAGACAACATAATGCAAGAAATGCAGAACTTCTGGCGCGAGGAGTACGACCTGGTGCACAGGGACACCGGCTGCATGATACTGTGCATGGCTTCCAAACACAACCTGCTGGTGATAGCTGATGAGAAGATACATCATCAGAACGCTCACGAGTTCGCGAAAGCTCACGGCGCTGGTAAGAGCTCATTGATGATTGTGTTCTTGTCTGTCACAATATTTATTAGACATTAGAATGTTCTCCATACAAAAATCTATACATATCAATAAAATTGGAGTGTCTGTTTGTAATATTGAAATAACCATTTTCTACTGCCTACAGGCTTATTAATACGGTACATAACCCAAAATATTTCTCTTAATGTTTGTCTGGTTGTCTGTCTGTTTGTTTCGGCTAATCTCTGAAATAGCTGGACCAATTTTGACGGGACTTTTTTTGGCAGGTAGCTGATGTACAGCAACCTGCCAAAAAAAGTCCCTTCAATTTTATTTATATATATAAAAATAAAATTAACCTAAGTTAATGCTTATTACATCAGCTACTTGTTAAAAAAAAGTCCCGTCAAAATCGGTCCAGTCATTTCAGAGATTAGCCGAAACAAACAGACGGACAGACATACAAAAATATCAAAAAATGTTATTTTGGTGTATGTACCGTATTTATATTCATATGCATGCAGTAAAAAACGGTTATTTCAATGTTACAAACAGACACTCCAATTTTACTTATATGTATAGATTACACACTACCTAGATGATGATAAACCCGTGCAAAGCCGGGGCGGATGAACAGTATATAACTATAAAATGAACTTTACAGATGACGAGATGGCCACACAACTGGTCAATATATTACACGACTGTGAGAAACAATATCCACCACAAGATGACGTCTGCTTACGGAGTCTAGCGGTCGCTAAGTGCTTCCGAACCAAGATACACAGCCTCAAATGGGCACCGTCGATGGAGGAGCTCCTGGCGGAGATCATGACGGAAATGTGAACTGCGGAGAATTAAATCACAAGACCCACTTGATGGAAAGTGGTAACCGTCATGTATAGACTTGGATAGTACCAAAAAATCTTAGAATATATTGCGAATTTTGGTTTGATGACTAAATGATTTAATAATTGGATGAATTTGCCAGATGTAGTCAGATTATAATTTTATGGACGCTGATCTGAAATAGAATTCATTGACTGCACTATGCAATAAAGTAGCATATAGTAATAATACACTGTTAATGAGTCATACTACATATCACACTAAATGAGGTAGGAAGCAGAAATAATATTATACTGAGATAGGTCCCGGGCATTCAAATATCGAAGGCAATGAAAATGCCGACCATCTGGCAAAGTTAGGGGCAAAAACCATCCAACTGGGCCCCGAACCCATCTGTGGTGTACCTCGTTGCCTAAAACTGGGACATCTCAAATTAATAACCAAATGAGATGCACTGAATCACTGGCAAGAAATGCCAGGATTGACACATTCAAAAGCCCCAATATCGGGCTACTCGAACAAATACTCCAATAGACTACTGCTATTGAGTAAAAACAACATATGTATGATGACTAGGGCCCTCACAGGACACTGCAAATTAAACAAGCATATGGCCACACTAGGCCTATGCACGACAAGAATCTGCAGATTCTGCTAAACTGAAGAGGAAACGCCGCGCCGCTACACATCCTATGTGGTTGTAGCCCACTTATGCATAAACGAAATATCTCCTTTGGAAAGTTTACACTCTTTCCCGAGGAGGTAAAAACCATCGCTCCTAAGAATATCCTTCAATTCTTGTCCCTGACGGGTCTAGGCAGCGAACTTTGAAATAGGGCGAGCACAATAGGTCTATGTAGGTCGCAATGGTACAGGTGCTATAAACATCTGACAATAGCCCAAACAACCCAATAAAAATATATATATATATATTCATTGTCAATGAATTAGACACTGTCAATGAATTAAATATTGACAATGAATTATATACTGTTAATGAATTAAACACTGTCAACTAATTATATTTCGGATCACCGTGAAGTTTTTTTTATTGGGTTGTTTGAGCTATTGTCAGGTGACTGTAGCACCTATAGCACTGCGACCTACATAGATCTATTGTGCTCGCTCTTTATCAGAGTTCGCTACCTAGACCCGTCAGGGACAAGAATTGAAGGATATTCTTAGGAGCGATGGTTTTTATCTCCTCAGGAAAAAGCGTAAACTTTTCAATGGAGATATTTCGTTTATGCATGAAGCAAAATATTTATATCCTTCAGCATTTCATTATTTGAAGCACCAGCGACGACCGTGCTTTGTAATAGTTTAAAGTTTTAGTTCAAAGGGCGAGGTATGGCAGTGAAATTACAAGGTATGAAAGCATGAAAGTTAATTCCTCAGGAATGGGATTGTATGAGAGGTATATACCATTCATAGGGTAATGAGATCTAGTACTATTCATGGATAAAGACGACAGTTACCACTAATCAGATATACCCTCAGCATTTTTGATGTTACTGTTAAATATTTATTATTTATACATAATTGGTGATGGGTTAATTATAATGTTTTTTAGCATAAGTCACAGTAAAGTATGTACATCTCTGCTATAATATGTCTACATGCCTGGAATGAAGTTATAGTATTTTATAGTACAGTAAATACTTATTCATAATATTGTCAGGGTACGAGGTGATCTATTATAAATTACAACACTGTTACTATACTTATTTTTTTTGTTTTATTTCTATATAAAGCTTTGAGTAAGTAAGAAAAAATGCCACAAAAAACTTGAGATTCATAAGCGGATAAAATCTAAATATATATAACTCAAAGGTGACTGACATAGTGATCTATCAACGCACAGCCCACACCACTGGACGGATCGGGCTGAAATTTGGCATGCAGGTGGATGTTAGACGTAGGCATCCGCTAAGAAAGGATTTTGATTAATTCTACCCCCAACGGGATAAAATAGGGGATGAAATTTTGTATAAAATTTTGTCAATTTTAACCGATCGGGCTGAGACTTTGCATGCATAAAACTACTATGACGTAGACATCCCCTAAGAAAGGATTTTGATAAAATCCATCCCTAACGGGATAAATTAACGCGAGCGAAGGTGCGAGCAAAAGCTAGAATCCTATATGAAAAAATTTCTGAATTTATTTGAAATTGAAATAATCTTTATTAAAACAAACTTAATATTGCTTATATTAAGTTTATTTGATAAGGATATAAGATAAAGATTGTTTCTATCTTTACCTATCTTTTGAATAGTTTTTTTTGTTTCTGCAAAGTCATACGCGAAGCTTTGTTAAAAATTCATCACCAGTAGAATGACCAAGAATATTGCGTGTTGATCTTATAAAATTAATTTAATTATTGTTAGGAATTATGTAATACTAGCTACTCGCCCCGACTTCGCACGGGTGTACATGTACATGTATTATACATATAAACCGGAAGGTTTTTCTTGAATCACTGTATCTGTTAAAAAAACCGCTTCAAAATACGTTGTGACAATAATATTTCGCTAAAAGTATCAATAAAGAGGGGCCATTTTACAATTCCCGACACGTTCGAAATGGGATAAACAATAAAACTAAATAAACACACGCAGGTGCTCCGGATTGCGGGGAAGATTCAAATGCACCAAATCTGTTTATCTGCCATTTATTTTCAATTTATGTGTGTATGAATATAAGTGGAAATTGGTAATTCACGTAAATTATATGATTCATTCGTTCATAATTCAAGAGTTGCGCTTTCATCGGTGTAATTGCAGGTTTTATAAACAACTAGTGACCCCGGCTTCGTCCGCGTGGAGTAGTGTCCTTCATTACATAGTATAAAACAAAGTAGCTGTCACTGTCTGTCCATATGTATGCTTAAATCTTTAAAACTACGCAACAGATTTTGATGCGGTTTTTTTTAATAGATAGAGTGATTCCAGAGGAAGGTTTATATGTATAATAGATGTGCACCCGGGTGAAGCCGGGGCGAGTAGCTAGTGATGAAATAAAGAATATTCAATAATCTAACCTAACAAAGGAAAGGGAAAAGTTTCATCGTTCTACCTTAAAAAATGACGCATTTCTAAATAAAGTTACATCCCCTATGTTATTTTACCCCCTAAACATACTTTGAATGTCGCATTTATTAGAATAGAAAATAATTTATTCAAATAAACTTAATTTAAGCGCTTTTGAATAGTCATAACATGTTTTTTTATCTACCACTCGTTCGGAAAGCTGTCTCATCACAAGAAGAACGAGCAAGAAACTTGTGTATTGCTCTTTTAAATAATCCTTGTAAGTTTACATTTACAAGTCGAAACGTGTGAATACAAACCACCAACTAGCACAAATTTTTTTGGGTCAAACATAAATATACAATAAGATTAAATCAGTCGTAGTGATAAGAGCAAGCCAGTCCGTACAAGCAGCTCCCGTTCACGAGTATGACGGATGAGCCAGCCATCACTGCGCTCGACCATATTTTAGGGAGCCCAATGACCCGGCCCACCACGCCGCCACAAGTCTGGACATTTTAGTGAGCATGACTATTCAAAACACTAGACCACGTCAAAGCTACTCACAATTGCCATCTGATAGTTATAGTATTCACATTTTACATAAGAATGCATGCGGCAATTAATACAAAAACCGCTACGCTTTCATATTTCTAAAATCAATCAATTAAATCAAGAAAGCAATGAGAAAATTAAATTATAAAGGATAGTCTTTGTCTCGAGACGTCTTATAGACACACAAGTCCAAATAACATGCATTTTTGTATATGTTAATGCGGTTACCTGGGGATATGTATCCCGAGAGATATTTTCCTTCGACAAGACTGCCATCACAGATCACGGGCAATACGGGCACGGAGATATAATGGAATGGTGCTCTCGTCTGCGTTACCGGTTTACGCTGGCGGGGCACCAGTGAAAGATGATAAGGTCAGCCCAGTTAGTACGTCGTGACAAATTCTCCTAGAACTTAACGGAAGTCGCGAGTACATTCATAGTTGTTTATGCACTGAATGTTCATTTAATGTTAGACATAGACACCTATATGAAAATACATTGTAAATAAACTGGCTTTAAAAAAAAAGTAATTCAATTGAGTTTCTTGCCAGTTCTTCTCAATTGGATCTATATAACGAACTGGACGGTAGGGACAAAATAAAATTAGAATGTAAAAATTTGACGTTCATAAGCGGCTGAAGTATCCTACATGAATAAATGATTTTTGAATTTTGAATTTTTTTGAACATTACTATATACTATATATATACATATATATTACTTATTAATGTTTTATGACCTGTTAGTATTAATTTGCAATAGACAGAAGCCACTATCAGTGCATCAGAGTTCTATTGAATGTGTGTTCTATTAAGTGAGTCCCGGAGTTGCATGCTGAATAGGATCTTGATGCTGTCGATTGTGCTGTCTAATACGATAAGAATTATGACGCAATTAACAGTTACGCTGCTGTTACCGTCAAATGGACTGCTATATTGTCGACAAGTAATAATAATAATCTCAGGACAATTCACACAGCGCCATCTAGTCCCAAGTTAAGCTAGCTAAAGCTTGTGTTATGGGTACTAGATTACTGATACAAATACATAGATAATTTTTTTTCGTAAATACATACATATTATACAAAGAAAACACCCGGAAAACACCCCAATACAAACAATCATACTCATGGATACAAATGTTTGTGCCGTGCGAGGAATAGAACCCGCGACCATCGGATAGTAAAGCGATATGCTAACCACTAGACCACTGAGGCTATCTTCTATAATATATACATAGGTGAGTTTCCTATCAGTTCTTCTCAACTGAAACTGTCGCTTGAATTTGCATGAATGTAAAGTTCTTGGATTTTTCACTGAACTATCTCAGTATTATACTGAAATGATAAATATAATATAGTATAATATATTGTAATATCATATAACATTTATTATATTTATAAATATCGTATACAATGAATGAAATTACAATTAAAAATATATATATATATTATTTGATTTATATTCATAATAAGCGGTTATCCGCGACTTCGTTCGCGTGGAAACTGTTTTTTTAATTAAAATAAATAAAAGTTCTTAAATAAAAGTAGCCTAACGTATTCATTATAACATTAGCTAACTGCGAGTGAAAGTCCCGTCAAAATTGGTCCAGCCGTTTCAGATATTAATAACAAACAGACAGGTAAAGAAAATTTTAAATTACTTTTTGATGTAAGTACCATATATCTGGATCTGAGTGTTCTTTATGTATTAAAAAAAGAGATCTAAGTATTTATATCAGTTGTCTAGTACCCAGAACACAAGCCATACTTACCGTGACACTAGATGGCGCTGTGTTAATTGTCCAGGGTTATTTATTAATTTATTTACATATTTTCATATACATTTTGTAAAAAACTGTAAATTGAAATTACAAACATACACTTCAATTTTATATATTTGCATAGATTATTATTACAATAATAAAAAAAAAAAATACACTCTACACTATCACTCTGAAGTTACAAATACAAAATTTCATTGTAAAACAATATAACATTTTAAAAATCTGAAATCAAGTTCAGACGATGCTGGGGATATATCATGTTGCTGAATTGCAGTAGCTTCTTTCACAAATCCGTAAGGATCTCGGTGATGAGGACATCCGCTTTTGGAGACCAGTCAAGACCTCTTATGTCGTTTCGGAAGCATTTCGCCACCTCCAGGGTCCGTGCACACTCGTCTTCTACAGCCAGAGACTGCTTCTCGCATTCGTGAAGCATGTTCACTAATTTGACTGCGACATCTTCCGCTACAATAGTAATAATAATAATTCAGCATAGCATTTTTTTTATTTCGTTATTTGGGCTATTGTCAGGTGCATGGACCTGTAGCACTACACCTACATAGATCTATTGTGCTCGCCCTATTCAGAGTTCGCTACCTAAACCCGTCAGGGACAAGAATTGAAGGACATTCTTAGGAGCGATGGTTTTTATCTCCTCAAGATAGAGTGTAAACTTTCCAAAAGAGATATTTCGTTTATGCATGAGTGGGCTACAACCACATAGGATGTGTAGTGGCGTTTCCTCTTCAGTTTGGCAAAATCTGCAGATTTTTGTTGCGCTTAGGCCTAAGTTTTGCATAGCATAGTACGGTATAAAAAATATAAAAGAACTTATATTGCACATCTAATGATGCTATGTAAGGGGGAAGGGAATTGTTCGCAATATGGACTAATAACCATATTGATGGCAATGTACCATGTCAGGTTGAATTACACGCGGTTTCACTTGGAAACCATCGTGGTAAATTACCATTTGACAAAAGAGCTAACTGACATAACTTCATGCTCATATTATCCTCTACTGGTGCCTAGTAAACTGTAACTGTCTAGTAATAAACTGTTAGCGCAGGTATGCATGGTGCAAAATCCATTATCATCCATAAAAAAACCAAAAAATTGCGCTACAAGCTAAAAGGGCCTTCAGTTATTCCACATATTTGTACAGTACACAAAGTCATTTCATATATACATGATTTTGATTATGTGAAGATAAGAAACAAAATACCAAACAACGCAAAATTTTATCCAAAACTGAACATACCAGCTCCATGTTGCATGGCGAAATCCTGCGCGCTGCCATGATGCAAACGTCCAGACGTATCTATCAAGTTTAACTTTCTGCTCATACATAGAATAATACAGCCAGTTTCTCTGTTCAGTAACTCGTATTCTTGCTTCCAAAAATGATACAAGTCAGATACGATATTATCGGAGAGGTTTAGCTAAAAACACATGTATAGATAGATAGATAGATAAAGTTAGTTATTCATCAATTATAGATAAATAGCATATATGAGATAAAGAAAAATATATGAAGAATTAAAAGAAACGTGCCGCAACGGTGAATAGGCAACCAACTCAGCATATAGCTACAGATAAATTTGCTGATATTCTGTTGTGTTTTATATTGCTGTTCACACAGTTATATTTATATTGATACAATTACATAGATTGTACACATGGATTATTTTACAAATGTTTGTGCCGTGCGAGGAATTTTCTAAATTACATTTATAAGTAGTAATATTAGAGAGTCAGGGCTCTACCTAAGTCCCCACTGAAACGATATCTATACATATAAATATAATTGGAGTGTCTGTTTGTAATATTGAAGTAACCGTTTCTTACTGCATGCATATGAATATAAATACGGAACACACACCAAAAAACCACTTTTTAAAATTTTTGTGTCTGTCTGTTTGTTCCGGCTAATCTCTGAAATGTCTGGGCCGATTTTGACGGGACTTTTTTTGGCAGGTAGCTAATGTAATAAGTAGTAACTTAGGCTACTTTTATTTTAGAAACATTATTTTATTTTAGAAATATAAAGTATAATTCCACGCGGACGAAGTCGCGGGTACAGCTAGTCTATACATATAAATAAAATTGGAATGTTTGTAATATTGAAATAACCGTTTTTTACCTCATGGTATGAATATACATTACGGTACAAAACACCTTAATATCATTTTTTACAATATTTTCTGTCTGTCAGTCTGTCTGTTTGTTTCGGCTAAACTCTGAAATGGCTAGACCTATTTTGACGGGACTTTTATTGGCAGCTGATGTAATATGGAGTAACTTAGGCTACTTTTATTTTAGAAAAATAAAGTTAAATTCCACGCGGACGAAGTCGCGGGTACAGATAGTACATAATATACACAGAAAACATCCAGACCGATACAAACAATCTCATAAATACTAATATTTGCAACATACATGGAATCGCACCTGCTACCATCGGTAGCGGTTTAGCCACTACACCACCAAGACCGTCAAATATATATACCTCATGTTTGCAGTCGTCCAAAGTCTTAAGAAATCCAGCTGTTATATACTTCATGACCTCACTCGAAGGTGCTGCATCTCTCACGACAATTATAACCAAGACCAGACCAATAAAAACCGCTCTCGCCATATCTAGTTGCAATGTTCTTGCAAAAAGTGTCAGAACATGCCACGGGCCCACTTAAATACAGCTTCACTACATCGTAATGGTATTTAATTGTCACTTCATTTGTTGGTGGTCATTAAATTTGTGATCCTCCTTTTAATCGCTGGGTATTTGATCAACTATGGGGTTACTAATAACGGTTCTAACGTCTATAGTGCATAACATGCACGTAGCGTAGAAAAATAACGTAATCTATTATCAGATACATCTAAAGCTGCACTAGCAGGCTCCTACGAGATTTGGACAGAGAGCGGTGAAGGCGAGAAAATCACGAGCGATTTAATAGAAAGGCTGCACTATCAGGTTCCTACTGGATTTGGCTAGACAAGGAGAGCAAAAAAGAAACATGAGGTTAAAAAAAAGTAATTTATTATCACAAGAAGAGAGAAAATCACGTAGCTGATTTAATAGAACGAAGGAAAAATTATTGCCCTGTGTATCTAAAGCTGCACTATCAGGTTCCTACTGGATTTGGCTAGACAAGGAGAGAAAAAAAGAAACAAGAGGTAGAAAAAAAGTAATCTATTTATTATCAGATACATCTAAAGCTGCACTAGCAGGCTCCTACGAGATTTGGACAGAGAGAGAATCATGAGCGGTGAAGGCGAGTGTGACGGCACAAGAAGCACGTAGCTGATTTAATAGAACGAAAGAAAAATTATTGCCCTATGTATCTAAAGCTGCACTATCAGGTTCCTACTGGATTTGGCTAGACAAGTATGAAAAAAAGGAACACGAGGTTAAAAAAAAGTAATTTATTATCACCTACATGTAAAGCTGCACTAGTAAGTTCCTACGAGATTTGGACAGGGAGAGAATCACGAGCGGTGAAGGCGAGTGTGACGGCACAAGAAGCACGTAGCTGATTTAATAGAACGAAAGAAAAATTATTGCCCTGTGTATCTAAAGCTGCACTATCAGGTTCCTACTGGATTTGGCTAGACAAGGAGAGAAAAAAAGAAACACGAGGTAGAAAAAAAGTAATCTATTATCAGATACATCTAAAGCTGCACTAGCAGGCTCCTACGAGATTTGGACAGGGAGAGAATCACGAGCGGTGAAGGCGAGTGTGACGGCACAAGAAGCACGTAGCTGATTTAATAGAACGAAAGAAAAATTATTGCCCTGTGTATCTAAAGCTGCACTATCAGGTTCCTACTGGATTTGGCTAGACAAGGAGAGAAAAAAAGAAACACGAGGTAGAAAAAAAGTAATTTCTTATCACATACATCTAAAGCTACACTAGCAGGCTCCTACGAGATTTGGACAGGGAGAGAATCACGAGCGGTGAAGGCGAGTGTGACGGCACAAGAAGCACGTAGCTGATTTAATAGAACGAAAGAAAAGTTATTGCCCTGTGTATCTAAAGCTGCACTATCAGGTTCCTACTGGATTTGGCTAGACAAGGAGAGAAAAAAAGAAACACGAGGTAGAAAAAAAGTAATTTCTTATCACATACATCTAAAGCTACACTAGCAGGCTCCTACGAGATTTGGACAGGGAGAGAATCACGAGCGGTGAAGGCGAGTGTGACGGCACAAGAAGCACGTAGCTGATTTAATAGAACGAAAGAAAAATTATTGCCATGTGTATCTAAAGCTGCATTATCAGGTTCCTACTGGATTTGGCTAGACAAGGAGAGAAAAAAAGAAACACGAGGTAGAAAAAAAGTAATTTATTATCACATACATCTAAAGCTGCACTAGTAAGCTCCTACGAAATTTGGACAGGGAGAGAATCACGAGCGGTGAAGGCGAGTGTGACGGCACAAGAAGCACGTAGCTGATTTAATAGAACGAAGAAAAAATTATTGCCATGTGTATCTAAAGGTGCATTATCAGGTTCCTACTGGATTTGGCTAGACAAGGAGAGAAAAAAAGAAACACGAGGTTAAAAAAAAGTAATTTATTATCACATACATCTAAAACTGTACTAGCAGGCTCCTACGAAATTTGGACAGGGAGAGAATCACGAGCGGTGAAGGCGAGTGTTGACCGCATAAGAAGCACGTAGCTGATTTAATAGAACGAAGAAAATATTATTGCCCTGTGTATCTAAACCTGCATTATCAGGTTCCTACTAGATTTGGCTAGACAAGGAGAGAAAAAAAGAAACACGAGGTAGAAAAAAAGTAATCTATTATCAGATACATCTAAAGCTGCACTAGCAGGCTCCTACGAGATTTGGACAGGGAGAGAATCACGAGCGGTGAAGGCGAGTGTGACGGCACAAGAAGCACGTAGCTGATTTAATAGAACGAAAGAAAAATTATTGCCCTGTGTATCTAAAGCTGCACTATCAGGTTCCTATTGGATTTGGCTAGACAGGGAGAGAAAAAAAGAAACAAGAGGTAGAAAAAAAGTAATTTCTTATCACATACATCTAAAGCTACACTAGCAGGCTCCTACGAGATTTGGCCAACCATTAGCTGATAATGATTGTAATACTAGAAGGCATCATTTACACGCACGTCCTTGTAACCTGTAATGAATGTTACAAGTACATTTGAATTTAATAACCGAAGGATTAAAATTACATTTTTATTACCCGTAAATTTGAAAGAAAAGAATTTTATATTTTACTAGCAGTCCCGGCAAACGTTTTGCCTTAAAATAAAAAAAAAATTAGGGGTGGACTACACCTAACATTTAGAGGGATGAAAAATAGATGTTGGCCGATTCTCAGACCTACTCAATACGCTCACAAAATTTCATGAGAATCGGTCAAGCCAAGCAAATCAAGTTTCGGAGGAGTATGGGAACGAAAACTGTGACACAAGAATTTTATATCTAAGATTATGTAAAATATTCACTATATAATTATAAAATCCGCCATATATACATTTCATATGGAGTATAAGTAATTAGTGTAGTAGAGATACACGATCGAGAAAAAAATAGTAATTTATTATCACATACATCTTAACCTGCACTAGTAAGCTCCTACGAGATTGGACAGGGAGAGAATCACGAGCGGTGAAGGCGAGTGTTGACTTACGTCGACAAGAGGCCCCTAAAACATACACCCGGGTCGTAAGTCCCGGAAATTGATCGGTATTTCTCTCTACCATGCTTTGGACCCGGTAGAAGCACGGTGGATCCATGAAATGCTAAAAAATACCTCTCTCTCTAATAACATGAATTTATAAAATTACTAGCTGTACCCGCGTAAAATAGTGGCTTTGACCAAATAATTAGAATAGAATAGAAATAGAAATAGAAAATCATTTATTCAAATAAACTTAATTTAAGCACTTTTGAAGTCATAACAATTTGTTTTTTATCTACCACTCGTTCGGAAAGCTGTCACATCACAAGAAGAACGAGCAAGAAACTTGTGTGTTGCTCTTTTAAATAATCCTTGTAAGTTTACATTTAGAAGTTTATTTAGAAAATATTTAGCCATTTATTATATTTTATATTATTTATCTATCCCACTAAAAAGTTTCATCGTTCTAGCTTCAAAAAGAAAATTTCCATACAGAATTCTACACAATTCAATCAACAGCCTACAAAAAAGTACGTGAATTTATAAGGAGACAATGGATTGACCATAATCAGTTACGTGCGCATGCGCATACATAGCATGCGCGCTGCTTATACAAATGACATATTATATGTTTATTTATGACATATGAGCGTTTATATGTCGCATATCTAGTACAATGCTGGTGTAATTCAGAAATTTAAATATTTTGAAATTATACTTTAATAACACTGTTATAGAGTGGTTTTTCCAAAATTTGTAATTTTTGTGTTAAGCCAAGCCAAGCATAAGAAGAACTAAGGTAGTTAACTCTATAAAATCTTCTTATGCTTAGTCAACATTTCTAAAATCCCACAAGTAATCGCCACTCCTGTAAAGGCTCTTAAATTATTATTGCTAAGAAGAAATGCAGGCGTAAAATATGAAATATGTATTTCACTGCATATGGTGTTGACATGTTGTTCTTACTGATCTTTGAATTTAAAAACAGCTTCTTAAATCAATATTATTCTAGTTAATAAATAACTGTCAACTGCTTTAGTTATCTATTATTTTATCTTTTTTATTTTATTGAAATAGAAATAATCTTTATTCAAATGAACTCATTACAACTATAAAATGTTAACTTAGTATAAGAAAGTTAATATATTTTTCTATTATTAATATCTCTTATTAATATATTGTGATGATATTATGGTATATGAATATCTATTGTGATGATTTGGTAAGCAAAGGAACTTATTATGCTGGTGAATATAATAGAACGACGTTAGGTTTTAGGAAGGAATAGTATTTTTAATTAGTATCGATATCAGATAAAAGAAGAATCATAGTAACAGTACAATATTTTTCTATATAAATTAATAGATAGTAAAAAACATAAAGCATGATAGTGATGTAATCCCAGCCGATTTTGTCCAGGCCGATTTCGTCCAGGCCAACCGTCTTCAACTCCGGTTTTGCCATTGACGTGCTCGCATGTGACTTATGTAGCCTACTTTGTGTATAAAAATCCTCGCACATTGAGGACATGAGAAAATAAAACATAAAATATATACATATACTATAAAAAGGGGCGTTGTGAACAACTTCGTTTAATAAAAAATATTTTAACATATACGTACGTCATTTTAGTGTCATACAGCATTATTATTATTACTGTTTTTATTGAGAAATTATAATTATTAAAAAAAAAAGAGATACAGAGAATGTCATAGTAAAATGATTAAAAATAATTAAACCGAATCAAATCAAAATTCATTTATTTATGTCTGACAGTGCAGCCGCTTATGAATGTACATTTTTCTGTTGTAATATTTTTGCCCTGGCAATTTTCAATTGATAAATAAGGATTGTGACTTTAGAATACGTAAAATTTACATAAAAGTTTTATAATTAAATGTAACGGAAGAAATAGTAATTCAAACGCAAATATAATAATAAAAAATTAAAATAAAGTTTAAAGATCACAAATAGTGAATATAATATATATATAATAATCTCAGGACAATTCACACAGCGCCATCTAGACCCAAGTTAAGCTAGCTAAAGCTTGTTATGGGTACTAGATAACTGATACAAATATATAGATATTATTTTTTTTTCGAAAATATATACATATTACACATAGAAAATACCCAGACTGATACAAACAATCGTACTCATGAATACAAATGTTTGTTCCGTGCGAGGAATCGAACCCGCGACCATCGGACGTAAAGCGGTTTGCTAGACCGCTAGACCCCCGAGGTCGTTATATATAAAATTAATAAATAAGCTTTTTTTTATTGGGTTGTTTGGGCTATTGTCAGATGTTGTAGCACCTGTAGCACTGCGACCTACATAGATCTATTGTGCTCGCCCTTAATAAATAAGTTATAATAACAAGACTTGATATTAATGCCCGTCCGTCGGTAATAATATCTTACATTATAATTTTAATTTTTTCCCCTACCGTCCAGTTCAGTACATAGATCCAATTGAGAAGAACTGGCAAGAAACTCAATTGAATTACTTATTTTTTAAAAGCCAGTTTATTTACAATGTATATTTATATAATAATAATAATAATAATAATAATCTCAGTATACACAACGCCATCTATATAAGCTAGCTAAAGCTTGTGTTATGGGTACTAGATAACTGATACAAATACATAGATATATTTTTTTTTCGTAAATACATACATATTATACATAGAAAATACCCAGACCGATACAAACAATCATACTCGTGAATACAAATGTTTGTGCCGTGCGAGGAATCGAACTTGGATATAAAGCGGTGTGCTGGACCGCTGATCGTCGGTACCATATAGGTGTCTATGTCTAACATTAAATGAAAATCCCGTGCATGAACAACTATTGCCATGCACGCTGGTCTTATTGGAACAATTAGAAAGAAAGAATAGAAAGAAAATTGTTTATTTGGTACACAGCAAAAATAAAAATAATTTTAAATTTTAAGTTTTTTTTTTATAACACAGGGGACAAACGAGCATGCGGCTCACCTGATGGTAAGTGATTACCGCCGCCCATGAGCACCCGCAACACCAGGGGAATTGCAAGTACGTTGTCGGCCTTTTAAAAAGGAATAAGCTCTTTTCTTGAAGGTTTCAATATCGTATCGTTCGGAAATACCATTGCTGGAAGGTGATTCCATAATGTGGTTGTGCGAGGCAAAAAGTTTCTAGAAAACCGCACTGTGGAAGACCGCCATTCATCCAGATGATCAGGATGGTATTTCAGTTTCTGGCGGGTGGTACCACCATACCACCCGCCATAAACTGAAACTCAGCAGCTGGTATTAATCCGAACAATTCCTCAGAACACTCCCCGTGATATATGCGGTAGAAAATGCACAGAGATGCAATATCACGCCGCAAAGCCAATGGGTCGAGTCTGTCACATAGACGTTGATTACCAATAATTCTGGCTGCTCGGTTCTGAATGTTACATTATATAGGTTTATATTAATTAGATAGTACCAAATAGGTCTCTGCTCAGCATATGTCGTGACGGGGTGCCACGACGCTGGTATTCTGCGGATACCTTCATACATATAATAAATATAATACATACATACAATTAAATGTAATTGAACTAAAAACTCACTAAACGATTACTTGAATGACGAGCGTGCATGGCAATAGTTTTCATGTTCGGGATTTTCATTTAATGTTAGACATAGACACCTATATAAATACCTATGCATTGTAAATAAACTGGATTTAAAAAAAAAGTAATTCACTTGAGTTTCTTGCCAGTTCTCCTCAATTGGATATATACACCGAAATGGACGGATTAATTATAATGTAAAAACTTGACGTTCATAAGCGGCTAAAATATCCTACATGAATAAATTATTTTTGAATTTGAATTTGAATTTGAATTTATATAGTTTGGTCTGTACTAGAAATGTTTACAATCAGAAAAAGCAAAATTATACTACAACATGTCCCGTCCACCGTGTATCATTGTATATTTCGAACATTACATTGTTATTCAATTTTAACCCTTGTATCTTCGTATTTGGTTATAATTCTGCTAAAAGCTCTGCAACCACGAGGTCGGTGCTCGGTGCCCAGTTCAGCTTGTGTATTTCTGCTTTGAAACATTTGACTACGTCCAATACTTTCAAGCATTTATCATCGTTAGGTGGACCAGAGTTTTCACAATTGTGGATTATATCGATGAGCTGCTTCGCCATTGACTCATCTGAAGTTTTATTATTATTAGTGTTAATTTATATAGCAATTATGTCGGATTGTCCACTCCAGTGGTACTGGACATCATTACACTCTTGTGGACTCAGTGCATCTGGACGTGGACATTGACAGTGATTAAATTGAAATAACAAGGATATATATTGTAATTTACTAATACAATTTATAAGTTGTTTACTAATATAATATAAATGGATATCTGAAATAAATTAGACTAATTCATCATTAACTTGCCCATATTTCATTACTTGGGTGCGGCGCAGTATGTCATTCTCTTCCACTGGTCTCTATCGGTCGTCATATCTGAGCATACTCTTCTTTTATTCATATCATCTTTCACACAATCCATCCACATTTTCAGGGCGTCCTCTCCCTTTCCACCCATCCACGTTTATATTATACACTTTCATTAAGACATGATCCGCGTTCCTCCGCAGAACATGCCCCTACCAACTCAATCTATTACCTTGCAACTTGTCACTAACTGATTACACTAATTAAAAAATAAAATTTTAATTTATTTCTTTGAGAGACCTACCACCAGTAGCTTGGTTTTCAAATGTGTCTTTAGATTGCATTGCGGTTAGTATCTTGATATGACAGTTAAATTACAAGGTACTGGTACAGATACAGGATAGACAATTTAATTCTAAGGAATATTAGAATGATACACAAGCTGATGGTGTACCTGATAGAAAGCAGTAATGTCGCCTACAAACATGAACAGCACTACGGATCACGTTATCATATGACGCCAGTCAATGATGCATGCATTGGTTTACTGGAGGACTGAGATACCTCTTATCCTGTAATTCCACTGCCCAATATGTACCCTATAACCGAAACAGCTTAAAAAGCAAGTTGTTAGTAGGCTGAAATAGGTAAGACTGAAATTGATATAGGTGATATGCTGATAACTTTTTAAGGTCTCCCAATGGTATAACAAGAGCATCACAATGTTCGTGATACCTGTATACAGACAACCATTTTCCATCAACTAGATCAACTATCATACCAATAAAGAACATTTATATCACCATGCATACTCGTCTTTAAAATAAACTAACCAGCGCCGTGTTTCTTAGCAAACTCTTGTGCATTGCCGTGATGAAGATTTCCTTCTACATCCACGAGTTCCAACTTTGTTGAGAGGCACTGTATAGCACAGCCAGTGAGCCGATTCGTAATTTCATGTTCCTCCTTCCAGAAGTTATAGAAGTCCGTGTATATTGATTCCGGAAGATTTAACTGTACAAAGAAGTTAAAATGCAAATTTGAACCTAATGGTTTTAAAATTAAATCTGATTATTTGTCAATCATAATCTATGATCTTGTCAATGTTCCTCTATTTTATTATACTTTTTAATATACGCCTTTTCACACAATTACATCCTTTTCTTCTACAATTATTACCGTCCTTATCTTGGTACTATTTTTTAGGGTCAACATAATATTTCGTCTTCTTTATTGATGTATACTTAATACATTATATCTACTCGTTTATTACACTTCTTATTTTCTTACCGATCCTTCTCCTATTGCATAGACTAAGGAGACCACAACTCTAATATTGTATTGATTCCAGATCTCCACATATCAAGAATAAGCAGTACCTATTTTTTACCCAATTTTTAAATTGTCACATACCTCGCTTTTACATGTTTCCAAAGCTTTAGCGAAATTTATTGTGAGCTTCTTCATAATATCCTGTGATGCATTAGCACTTGAATCTATAGCCGTACTAACTATCGCTAATGCAAGTACTATCTTTAAACTGTACATTCTGACTTCTGTGTGTGCAATTTCGAGATTGTTGATGTTTATTTACTCCTTTGTTTTTTATAGTCTTCATGTTTTAATTGTTTGCTTTTAATTGTATGTTTACTCTAGAACGGAGGTCTGCACTTATCCAACTTAATTCGTCGAAGGCATCAATCACTTTGTCATCGTTAGAAGTTAATTGTTAGGAATTTAGTAGAATTATTAATGTGTGTATATTCAGGGCTAATACTGTATTACTTACGTTAGTTGACTCCAATAAATACAGTGTACATAAGTTAAAACTCTAACGGGTGCATAGACAATCGAGTCAAGAGACGAATCTAGACAGGTTATGCGCGAAATGAAAATGTGAGTAAAACAGATTATAACGCAATGATTAAAAATGAACTGACATTTTAATAAATTTTAACGCAAAAGTTTTTGAGTATGGATTTTTTTTTTAATTTTTGCAGACTTTCTCGCAAATCCTCCTGAACGAATTATTATGAAACTTTACAGTAATATGACTTATACATCGGAATAACACATAGCCTATAAATTTCATGCGGTAAAAATGCGGGAATAGCTACAGATATTAGTATAGGGCAGTTTGGGCAGCCTTACCTCACAAGTTTCGTATGATATAAACATTTATGTTCATCAGTATTGTTGTATGTATTTATAATACATAAGCTATTTCTTATAGTGGTTTAGTATCTATAGTAGAAGTTTGGCTTAGATTAAGAAGAACAAAAAAAATGTATGTGATCTAGTACCCTTAAGCAGAGCGCATAGCTTGGGACAAGTTGGCGCTGTGTAAGTTGTTGTGTAATTGTTATTATTATATCATTAACTTTATGTTACCCTAATTTCTCTGTATACCAAAAGAGTTTAGGGATAAAGATAATCGTGTACCTCGAAATTGTCCTCAATTTAGTCATTGCGTTTGACCTCTATGACCATCATTTTTCCTCATTTTTAACCAAGTCCAGAAAAGCATTACACTGTTCTCAATTCGGTTGTATTTTTATTTCTTAATATTTTTTAAGTAATTTAAGTGTTGTGTTGATCACGCTAGTAGTATATTTATAAAATTAAGTGGTTTACTCTATAATAGCTCCTTAGAGATAGCTTAGCAACTCGTGTTCGCTTGGAACGCTGTTATGTGTTTTCCGCTCTTTTGGATGGAGTAGAATCATGGACTCATAAAGAATTTATGTGTAAGTTAATTCGAGCATTCGAGATTGAAGATATCTAGATAGAGTGCGAAATGAGAGTGTACTAGTGTGTACCCATTTATAGATAAAAGACTTTGAAGACGCTGAAGTATTGCTATACTATAAAGCATAGAAAATTACAAGTTTCCGTGGAATATAAACTTTTGCAATAATAATTAAAAGAAAAATCCAAGGCCGACGAACATCGGGCAGGCGCTGCACGTCATAGCTAAAGAACTAAAGTCACTGGTTCGGGATTAGCACCAGATGTCTGTTCAGAACAGCGGTGGACAAAGTTCAGATCGCGAGGATGATCGCCAACCTCCAGTAGGAGACGGCGCATAAAGAAGAGGAATGTTTTCATTGTAATTTATAACTCCGTCATTTATTTGAAACTGTATATTCCTAGATTGGTCCCATTCTTTTTCAGTGTATTATAATTATAGCAAGGGCATTTAATACAAAAATAAAAATGCCAAACAACTAATTTAAACAAAAAGAAGTTATTTCATTTTATTATTCATTTATATACATAATCCTTAATTAATATCTGAGCAATGTTTGTTATTATAATTTCACCTTCCTCCAAATATATTTTAATGTGCAATACATCATACGAAGTTTCGCAGTTCAGTTTAATTTGGTCGTTTTAGTATCTCTCCATGACAGCTTCAATCATGGCGACCTCTGGTGCAATACCCTCCTTTCTTGCATCATTTCTGAAGCAAGCAGCAGTCTTCATGACTCGAGTGCAGTCATCCTCGACATCATCATATTTCTTCTCGCAATTGTGGATGAGTTCAACCATCTTAGCGGCTAATACATCGCCTGCAAGATAAGCGATACAATATCATTACTGAGGCTACAGAATAGAGTTTTTTAAGATTATATTAAGAGTGGGCCGTGTCACTCGGCTCCCTAAAATATGATAGCGTAGCGACTTTTGTATTGATTGCCGCATGCATTCTTATGTAAAGTGCGAATACTGTAAATACTATATAATAAATTTAAGTAGCTATGACGAGGTCGAGTAGAAGAGTAGTTATGCTCACTAAAATGTCCAGACATGTGGCGGCGTGGTCCGGGTCATTGGGCTCCCTAAAATATGGTCGAGCGCAGTGAACGCTGGCTCATCGGTCATACTCGTGAACAAGTGCTGCTTGTGGAGACTGGTCTGCTCTTGTCACTACGACTGATTTAATCTTATTGTGTTTTTATATTTGAGCCTAAATAAATTAGTGCTGGTTGGTAGTTTATATTCACACGTTTCGCCTTGTAAAATGTGAACTTACAAGGATTGTTTAAAAGAGCAACACACAAGTTTCGTGCTTATTGTTCTTGTAATGAGAGAGCATTACAAATAAGCGGTAGATTTAAAAAAAACGTTGACTATCCAAAAATGCTTAAATTAAGTTTATTTGAATAAATGATTTTCTATTCTATTCTGTTTCTTAATTGTCGGCAACGCAAACGTGAGAAGAAGAGTTTATTAAGGTTTCTTAAAGGTCAGCACCGCACGTTAAACCTCTGGTTATATGCGTTCATAGACTATGATAATCGTTTACCATTCTTGTACCACTTCGGTAGAACCGATGATATTTTGGAAGACTCATCCTATATAAGACGATCACACATGCCAGACTTTGCGGAAAGGTATAGACCAAGCACTACGAACATATAATCGGATCGTCGTTGTTCCCCTGGAAGAGCCGGGGGTAGATTCTCCCTTGTTGCAAATCGAAACAAAATTCACAAAAACAATGACGAAACAATATCGGATAGGACGTATGCTTGTCTGCCACCATAGTAGTATCTAAACATATAACTCAAAGATGACTGACTGACATAGTGATCTATCAACGCACAGCCCAAACCACTGGACGGATCGGGCTGAAATTTGGCATGCAGGTAGATGTTATGACGTAGGCATCCGCTAAGAAAGGATTTTGATAAATTCCACCCCTAAGGGGATAAAATGGGGTATGAAAATTTGTATAAATCTTCTTAGATTTTGTAGGCCCTAATTTTTTACACACGCTAAACGAAAGTAAAGCCGCAAAAACTACACCTAATTACTACTAGCGCGAGCGAAGCCAGCGGCCCTGAGCGGGCAAAAGCTAGTCCTAAATAAAATCTAAAAGAACCCTTACCATTAGGGAAACTCTTCACGTAATCATTCATGTTATCATGGTGGATCCTGGTGTCCTCTTTCAATAGCGAGAACTTATTGGACATACAGATCATAGCGCAGCCCAGCTCCCGGTGGACGATCTCGAAGTTATCACTCCAGAAGTGCTTGAATTCTTCCATGATTTCCGTAGTCAGACCAGACTGTGGCAAAATTACGTAACAATTTTGTTATAGCTAGATATGTTTCCTATAAAGTCTATGGTAACAATCTGCCTCATTTTGTATGCCTATTTTATTAAGTATTACAGTTGTGAAATTAATGAATATGGAATGCACAATAAGAAACTCGCTGGTAAAGCATAATGCTGAACAAGCTGTACCGTTTCGTTGATTTCGTACTTTAGCACACCACTTTACTTCCGATGGTCTCAAGTTCGATTCCTTGCGTACGAGTATGAATTCATGAGTATGATCATTTGTATCGGTCTAGATGTTTTCTACGTATATTATGTATGTATTTAATTGCAAAATAAAATTGAATCGAACTATAATAAGTTGTCTAATACCCATAACCCGCTTTGCTTATTTTGGGACTAGATGGCACTATGTGCATCCAAGAATATTATTATTATTATTGAGAATTTCTTAATTAATTCTTAAATGGAAGATATAATAGCATGCTTGTATGGGATATTAAAGGTATAATAATATGTAAGTAAGGTATACATATATCAGTGAATACTACGACGCTCATGTATAAAGTCACGAAGTCCTTTTTATCCTATTGGGTTGACAGCTAGTCTGCAATTCTATAATCTATAAAAGTAACTTGCAATTTAATTAAAATACATACTTAATAGACTCTTTTAAGAACATTCAAATAAGAAATATTTAATATAGATCAAGTTACAGAAAAGTATCTGAAACAATTACTATTCAATAAACAGTAGTATATTATAACCGAATATTTTTTTTATAGTAAGCGGCAAACGAGTATAGGGTCTGTTAGATGGTAGACGGTAACCGTATCCTTTGAATAGTGAATTTGTCACTCTAACAGACCTGATCGGCTAGTTCATTCTTTCATCTTCCACTGACACTCCACCAGCGTATACCGTTAGCGCAGGCGGGTGCATCATTCCATTGTCACCAATAATAAAAAAACTTACCTCTTGTCTGCACTCTTCAAGTGTTTTCCCATAATGTGCCGTAACGTGACTCATAACTTCAGCTGTACCCCTCACAGGATTACTGATGGAAGCCAATACAATAGCACCAAACAAGAAACAATAAGTTCCAACCATTTTCACTGCGTCTTCTTCGATGTCTTCACGAATATTGACAGTTTCTTCTAAAACTCCTCAATATATTATAGTCAAATTTTTTTGCACGCTAGAATATATTATTATCCACCCTCAAGTGTATTTATTTATAAAGTTCTCTATGAATTACTGCTTAAGGTTCAAATTGGTTTGACATGGATTGTAGACGCTGTAATGACATATAAAATAGCCCGTTTCAGCCCGTGCACTGAGTAATGCTAGGTTCTTAATTGAATTGGTCCTGCAAGTCATGTTCCACGAGGCCGTGATTACAGTTGGCTGTTGCCGTCAATAATTATATTATTGATAGCAACCTTCAATAGCGTATATGTATATATGTATATACTGGCTGACCCGGCGAATGTTGTTTAGTTACATAAATTAAAATCCCTATTAAAAATAGGGGTTGATTGTAGAATGTTAAATATTTAATGTTATATGTATTTTTAATGACGAAAATAATTGTTAAAAAAATTAAAAATATTTAGGGGTGGGTCATTAGTTATTGAGGGATGAAAATAGATGATGCTTCTCAGAGCTACACGATATGCACACAAAACTTCGTAAAAATCCGTAAAGTCGTTTCAGAGTTTGGTAACAAACACCGCGACACGAAAATTTCTTATATTACATATTAATACATATGATGACAATGATATAGTAAATATGAATTAATGATGATTTAAATTCAGTAATATATCTAGGCATAAATTCAATAATAATATCTAATTATTTACAAAAGGCATATAAAACCATATATAACAATTATTCGAAACACCCCATTTCTTGCTGTTATGGAAACTATCTATGTATATATATAGGGAAAAGCTCTGTCAATTAGATTTCTTGGGCTTCACTCGAGAAGCTTTCCAGTTTCACAGTAGGTTTCACAGTTCTAATTTATTTTAATTCACAACAAATGCGCGCGCGCGTCAAAGCCGCTGTACGGTCCGTTTGTTACTAGGTAAGGGAGGGGAACGAAAGGCGCGGGAACAGAAAACTAACGGACTCTAATATAATAATCTGTGCTTACGATGATACAGGGTAGATTTTGAACACTTGCAAAACATCATAATAAACTCTTTAATACCAATCTTCATAAATTACTTTTTGGTAATGTGTATTTCAATAAAATTATAAATATATAATGTTTTATAGCATTATTCAAGTTAATAGTTTTTAAATTATTGTTTTCAGTTCATTCTACTCAACGAAGTTCTTCATGCTCTAATCTGAATTTCGTATGTTATATTATTTCTGGTGCAATAAATAAATAAAAAAATAAATTTGCGATCTGCATGTGGCTATAGATTTTATATGGCTATAGAAGTGCGTAGCGGTTTCTATGTTGATTGTCGCATGCCTAATCCTTGTTGTTAATTGAATATAAGTAAATGAATATTTATTTAAAAGAGCAACACACAATTTTCTTGCTTATTCTTCTTGTGATGAATCTGCATTCCGAATAAGCGGTAGAATAAAAAAAAACTTGACTATTCAAAAATGCTTATATTAAGTTTATTTGAATAAAGATTATTTCTATTTCTATTTCTATTAATAATAACAATAATCTCAGGACAATTCACACAGCGCCATCTAGACCCAAGTTAAGCTAGCTAAAGCTTGTGTTATGGGTACTAGAGAACTGATATAAATACATGGATACAATTTTTTTTTGTAAATAAATACTTATTATACATAGAAACACCCAGACCGATACAAACAATCATACTCATGAATACAAAGGTTTGTAAGAATCGAACCCACGACCATCGAATAGTAAAGCGGTGTGCTAAACCACAAGACCACCGAGGCTGTCAAATGTCTATTTCAGTTGTAATATGGATTATTTGTATTCTATTGCAACGTAAACCTATCATACAATAGTAGATTTGAAGTAAAGATTTATAATATATGTATCTACACATATATTGCAAATCTTTCTAAACACATCTCATTTAGTATTCACTCCACACATTCCATCACATGGGCCATTGGTTCTGGAATCACTTTACGAGCCGCTGCCCTGCTCCCAAATGTTCACCGTGATGTATGGATACAGAATCGTTCAAGCATCCTGATTTATTGGGTGACGATTTTTAGAAACGAAAAAATGTTTAAAGACCTCCATTTGTTACGTCTATTAATATTTATGCCAAGTTTAAAAAAGAAACAAAGTGTTCTGATAGTGAAATATAAAGTTAAAATAAAGGCTTCTCATCATAATATCAATAATAATTTTAATGAACTATTATTGTACAATTTTAAAAAGTGCAATAAAGAATAAATAAATCAATAAATAAAATACCAATATAAATAGAATAATTTTTTGGCGTATTTGTTTGGTAGAGGTCTGACAATTTGTAATCATTGTAATTGTAATATTACTATTAGATAAGAAATGCGAATGTTAAGATGGATGTGTGGGGTTACCAGGAATGATAGAATAAGGAATGAGTATATACGAGGAAGTTTGAAAGTTGCGCCGGTTATAGAAAAGTTGCGAGGTAACAGATTGAGCTGGTATGGGCATGTTATGCGGAGGAATGAAGACCATGTCTTATGGAAAGTGTACATATAATATGAATGTGGATGGATGTAAAGGGAGGGGACGCCCTAAGAAAAGATGGATGGATTGTGTGAAAGATGATATGAATAAAAGAAGAGTATGTTTAGATATGACGACTGATAGAGAGCAGTGGAAGAGAATGACATACTGCGCCGACCCCAAATAATGGGATAAAGGCAAGGCAATGATGACTATTAGATAAGAAACTATATTAGCATGAGATTTTAGGGCTCTTACTCCAATACAAATACAAATTGCAAATTGCAGCTGACACCAATACTAATTGCAAATATAATAAACACATTTGCAAACTTGGGCCTTTGTAAAAATCTGCAGATTTCGCCAAGGTGACGGGGCAACGTCACATCCTATGTGGTTGTAGCCCACTCATGCCTAAACGAAATATCTTCTTTGAGAAGTATAGACTCTGTCTATGCACTTGAGAATAGCTCAAAACCCTCAATAAAGAAAACAGATTAGAAAAAATATAACTAACAAGTGGGCTATTGGTGCCATAATAAACATATTTATTATTACTTATTAATTATTAACCTAAATTATAATTATTTATTTAATTCAGTGGCCTCTGTTCAAATCTTTCAAATCTGTTCAAAATTTGGTGGTCAATTGCGAAGTTAAAATAATAAAAGAATAGAATAGAATAGAAAATCATTTATTCAAATAAACTTAATTTAAGCACTTTTGAATAGTCAACATTTTTTTAAATCTACCGCTTATTCGGAAAGCCGTCTCATCACAAGAAGAATAAGCAAGAACCTTGAGTGTTGCTCTTTTAAACAATCCTTGTAAGTTCACATTTTACAAGTCGAAACGTGTGAATATAAACTACCAACCAGCACTAATTTATTTAGGCTCAAATATAAAAACACAATAAGATTAAATCAGTCGTAGTGATAAGAGCAGACCAGTCCCTACAAGCAGCACTCGTTCACGAGTATGGCGGATGAGCCAGCCATCACTGCGCTCGACCATATTTTAGGGAGCCCAATGACCCGACCCACCACGCCGCCACATGTCTGGACACTTTAGTGAGCATGACTACTCATTCCACACGACCACGTCACAGCTACAAAAATTACTATATGGTAGTTACAGTATTCGCACTTTACATGAGGATGCATGCGGCAATCAATACAAAAGCCGCTACGCTATCATATATCAAGAAAGCAGTATGAAAAATAAATAAAAATAAATTTAGAACCCGCAGAAAATCCGAGGGTTACATGACGTATTCTAAACGATTTACATAATGATAAATCTAAGTACAGTGTTTGCCACTTTAAGAACTTAATTTAGTAATAATTTAGCATACCCGTTCATAGCAATCCTGACGTATTGCAAACTCATGTATTCTTATTTCCGGTGACTGTCATCTTTAAGGTATAATTTGGAAATTGGAAATTAATATTTCATAGTCTTGGATATGAAACTATTATTTTATTTCGTGTATGTTTATATCATCAATCATACGTGCGTGAAGGTTCAGCAGACGAAACAATCTGTCGAGGAACGAACGCGGAAAATAAGTTGTAGCTATGGGGTCCGATGAAAAATTATCCAAGTTTTATTTTGGGGTTGTTTGGAAATAATTGGTGGATTTCCTTGTTTTTCTCGTAAGGTATGTTGGGTATGTGGTTAATTTATGCGATCTAATTGGAAGTGAGAGGTATACCAGCGAAATCTCAAGAATCTTTTAAAATATCTTGGCGTGCCTAGAACCACAGTAAGTTCAATTCTAACGTGTATCCAAAACTGCACTAGCAGGCTTCTACCAGATTTGGCTGGGCTGGAAAACACGAGCGCTGAAGGTTTTGATGTACGTCGGCAAATGGATCCATTAAACCTATACCCGGGTCACAAGTCACAGGAACTATTCGAGGTTTCCACCTCTGCCTCTGCCACGATTGACCAGCTACCAGCACGGTTAATCCATGGAGTGCTAAGACGTTTCTCTCTTAGTGATCTTGATTTAGTATTAAGTGAAAGTGTCGTGGACCAGAAAAAAACTGTGTACCAAATTATATTTCTGACTGACTTTTAAATGAAGCAAATAGTGATATCATAGCAAAAATGAATTTGAGAAATAGAAATAATCTTTATTTATGTAAACTCATTACAAGCACTTTTGAATAGTCATATTTTGATTCTACTGCATTCTGAAAGATTGCATACGGAATGTAGATTCCTCACAAGAAGAATAAGCAAGAAACTTGTGTGTTGCTTTTTGAATAGATGTTTTTTTATATAAATAATTACAGTATAACAAGTAAGAGGCATGCGATAATCAACATAGAAATCGCTACGCACTCATTATTAGTGTAATCAGATAATATTGTCAGTGCTATGGATTTTAAGAAACAACTGTAGACTCGCCCTCAACTACGTTAAATTTAAAGTATATCGAACGAAATTTGGGCTTTTACTTGAAATGCTGCGTTCACTTGAATATCGACCGTTGACAATACGTCTGATTACCCCATCTGGTATAACAGTCATGATGGTATGTTATGAGCA